GCAGAAACACGCCAGACGCCACATTCGCCTTGAAGACATTAAATGCGCACTTGGGAAGATTGGCATTTTCAAGCACCCAAAGGCGGCCTTCACTCTGGATATCTTCTTCTTCGGCTGCATCATCCACATCCGAGCAAGGCAAATACTTCTCCGATCGTCCTTCGCCGCCTTCTGTAGCATTGGGAAGGCGAGGCTCACCATTTCCCTCGTTGGGAAACTTCTCGGCAACATCCTCACCAAAGTAATTGGGTTCGTGTGGTTGCGGCATCGACGTTGTCTTTACCTTTACTGTGATCTCGTGACGCATCATAGAAAACAAACACAACAATAATTATAAAGCTAACAAGCATTCACAGGTGCAGACACCTTTATTGTGGCCAGCCAGACCAACAGCATAAAATATAAAATGTATATATAAGCGCATAGAAATATATTCGACTGCCCCACACCCCGCAACAAAAGAAGATGTGTTCAACTTATATTCCGTTACCTTCGTCTGCGACCCTTTACCTTTCCCCGTCTACATCAACCCAAACGGCGGCGCCTTATAACACCCGAGAAAAGAACAACACATCAAAAAGAACAAAAACAAACAGCGCGCAAAATTATTTTGAATGGCATCCCTCCTCCAGGCACACCACAAGACATGGAGCACTGGCAAGCGGAAAACAAAAAAGGCCAAAAAGAAAAATTACAACGAATCCAAAAACTCCTCGACACCGTCGCCCAGAGTATCGCTGGCAAGCAGAGCCTCCTCAGCTATCCTTGCGCGTTTCCTGGCGCCCCCACCACCCACATCGCCCCCGTTGCACCTTTTTCGCACGCTGCTTGGCAGCAATTGAGTGGCCTTCGTTGGGGGGTTGTCTCTAACTGCAGCTCCCGCGCGCGTGCGGTCGAAGAGGTCGTCATAATCGTCCGAGCATGAGCCAGAAACACTCGACTCACGGCATTGTGGGTCCAATTGAGGTTCCCCCTCCCCACCCAAAGCCGCACGAGTTCTCTCCTCCAGATCCCTCACCATTCTCCCAAGAAGCCTCTTCCGCTCGTTCTGCTGTGGCGTCAAAAACACAGCTCTGCTTAAGGACTCCAGCTCCGTCTGCAGCTTCACGAAATCGGCTCGGTCAAGTTTTTCTTCCCACACGCGTCTCCTTTCCAACTTCCGACCTTCCACAGCATCCCTCTTCGACACACGAAAGCCGTGACGACGACGTTCCTCCATCCTCGAAAAAGGAAAGCTAACTCGGAGCCACAAAAAAAGTAGAAAAAAATGAGGATAATAATAATAACAATAAGCACCGGCGAACGCGCTTTAGTGAGTGACACGCAGCATGCGTTGCATCACGACCTCAGGCATACAAGCACACACCCAACGTAAAAAAAAACACACAAAGAGGCTCTTTTCCTTCACTTATGAGTCTACCACGAATTTTAACTCGTAGACCCGCACACTTTGTGTTTTGAGATATATATAAGGGCAATTGCGATGCTTGCTGGAATAATTCACAAAAAAACACAAAAGAACAAACAAACACAACACACACAAAAAGAAAAAAACAAAAAAAAGCAACAAAAGCAAATAAAAAAGCATTTCCTGCTTTTGTATATTTAGCTTTCTAATACACACTAAAAGCTTGGCAGCCACTCTCTGGAAAAAAAGGAGGGAGAAAAAAACAACGAGCTCGAAAGCCAAAAATTACAACAAACTCAAGAAGAAAGGTATAAACGACAAAAAAAAACACGATATCCATTCACAACATTCAACTCGCTAGGCCCTCCAAAACGCTAAGTGTCCCCACCACCATAATCAGAATCCCAAGCAAAAAATAAAAGTAACAACGTGCCCTGATAAAAGTGCAGCGTTTGCCAAATAGGTTTCGACACCAGTACTCCTTCGACATTCGAGGTCCATCCGGGTCCTCCACACTGGATTCCACAAATAGTGAGAGCAGCGCTGGTAAGAGCATTAGCATGACCGCCGCCGGGAGCGCCCCCGATCAGCGAAACCACAATCCCCGCAGTATCAGTTCCCGCGACCAATTGCAACAGCATACACAACAAGATTTACCGCAAGTAGCATTAAGATTGCTTTCCAGGACCGGAAAGGCCACCCAAGAAGTGAATCAATTTGCAAAATTCCGGGCATAAAGAGAATCGGATATGAACACAGGATGTTGATCATAAATGCCACACGCAAAACAATGGAAAACGGATCCTTGGGTAGTGCATCCACCAGCGACACCTCAAGTGCCCCACCATACGCCAGGTATCCAACCAAGCCGTACAAGAAATACCAGCCAACAACCAAGTACAGAACGACGGTGAGCACCAGCGGAAACAAAGGTTTGTTCTTGCATGAATTTTCGACGGGCAAAACAACACCAATTCCCTCTAGCACCATCATATTATTTGCCATGTTGTTGAACCAGCCAAGCGGTATAGAACGGCCCCAAGGCATTGTGCTCTCTGCCACGCCCTCTTCATGAATTTTAATAAATGACACAATCATCGTAGC